TTATCTGTGTGCTTTATTATATTCTTTAACAAACTGGTAAACATGGGTAAGTGTTTCCCTGCATTCTGGAACTGCTTTAGCAGCTTAATTGAACCCAAGGGGTGGGGGAAGGCAGGGGGTCATTGGAACCGCTGACCTATAGCCAGTTGATGATAACCTGGGCTTGCAACAGGTTTCTAAAGTGGAGGCAGTGCTCTTGTGGGACTGAGCCCTTAACCTGTAGAATCTGATGCCGTCTCTAGGAGGACAGTGTCAGAATTGAGTTGATTGGTAGGACACATAGCTGGTATTACAGAGAATTGCTTGTGGGGGAGGGGGGGCACGTAAAACCTCCACACACTTGGTGACCAGAAGTGTCAGAAGTGAAATGTTATGTGTGAATAGTACAAGAACACACAGGGAAGAAACACAGAGAAGAACTGGGGTTTTACCTACACAGGAAGGAAGACAGGTTTTTCCATTACAGTACGTACAGATACTTCATGAAGATGGAATGGGCTCGCCTTTGCCCACTAGTCCCTGGTTTCAGAAACTTAATTGGGCAAAACTAGCTGTTTTACTTCCTGAAATATTGTAGGTTTATGTAATTAAAACAAAGACAGTATGACATGAAATTCCTCAAATCAGGAAAATAGAATCTTGTGGTTCATAAATGCATGTTTTTAGATATAGAAGCTTTCTCACCGTGGAAAAATTAATATTTCTACTTTCGCAATCTCAGCCATGGGTAATTTAGTTAATGGCGCGTCTAAGTTAAATTCAGCAACATAATTCTCCCAAAGGGAAGGGGTAATTATATTCTCTCTTTTAGATTTTAAGGCTAAATGATATGGAAACAGCTTTATATTTTTCCTTTTTAATTTAAAAATTAAGCAGCCAGAAGGTCAGGGATAATTTGGAAGAGAAAATATTACCCACGAAACCACTAGCTTTTGCATATTACTTATAATTATAATCACAGCCAAAAATAGTTTGATCTCTTGGTTCCTTAATGTACCAAACTCTCTTAATTCTATCTAGTGTTCAAAAAATGTTTTAATAGGTATAATTCTACCCTGTTCCCCCATTTTACTTTCTACACATTTTCAGCATTATCTATTTTTCTTAGTGCAGATACCATTTTATTCCTGTAAAAGTTTTTTTCTTAAGACTTCTCAGCAGTGGGAATATAGTTTTACAGCTTCTGGAAAACAGCTGTGCTCACCTGTATACCACCAACGCAACTTTAGTTTTATGGCTTCTGAAAAGGCATATATGGCACTATTGTTTATTGTGGATGGGATAAAATTGTTAGGTGTTTGAATTAGAAACAGTTTGGGAGCTCCTATTACTGACATCACATATAGACCTGGGAATCTCATTTCAAAACTAAGTTTTTTGTGTGTTTTTTTTTTTCGTGGCAGAGAACTAGGGCATATTAGTAAGGAAGTTTTTTGTTGTTGTTTTGTTTTTAATCCTCACCAGAGGATATTTTTCCATTGATTTTAGAGAGAGGGAGAGACAGAGAAACATTGATGTGAGAGAAACACATCGATTGGTTGCCTCCTGCACTTGTCCAGAGCCTGGGCTGGGGAAGAGCTTGCAACCAAGGTAAGCGCCCATGGCCAGAATCGAACCCAGGACCCTTTGGTCCACAGGCTGACACTCTAAGGCAGCAGTTCTCAACCTGTAGGTCGCGACCCCTTTGGTGGTTAAACGACCCTTTCACAGGGGTCCCCTGAGAACATCCTGCATATCAGATATTTACATTACAATTCATAACAGTAGCAACATTACAGTTATGAAGTAGCAATGAAAATAATTTTATGGTTGGGTCACAACATGAGGAACTATATTTAAATGGCCAGAAGGTTGAGAACCACTGCTCTAAGGGACTCCCATTTTAAATAAACTTCTAAATAAGTTAAATTTAAAAAAAGGAAATCTTAAAAGTATATTTAATAAAATCTTAGGAATAAGAATTTAGATATTTTATCTAATTCAGCTCATTGAATTGTGTGTAGGTGCACATACAAATGCCTATGTTGTACTCTAGGGTTTGGAGTACTGTTATAAGTAAAAAACAATCCCTTTAGGTCTGAGAACATCCTTTAATCATTCTAGGCCTTTTTTAGCATGTATAAAATGTTAAGTTTAGTCTATTCTGTACCATGTATGGTTTCTCTTAACCCTAATTTCATAACACCCTTTGATTTGGAGAATAGTTGACGTTTAAAATTTTTTTTATTATTTAATTATTGTGTTTGATCTTGAAGATTCGAGAGCTTTTTTAAAAAAGTCATTTGTGTTTTCTTTTTTGTGATTTGATGCTGATTACATAGGAGCTCATTTATTTGTGAATAGTTGATGCTGGCATTCAATATTCTATTGAGTATTGTCTTTTAACTAGTCATATCAAAAACAGACTTTTTGCCTGCTCACTGCATGTTGAGATGAATTTGATTTAGGCCTAATGTATAAAACTTATTGTTAGTTTTACTATTTACCCAAGTACCATACTTCAATATGTTGTTTCCCCTCCCAGGCATAGTACATTTTTCATTTTTATAAGAGTTACAGAATCTAGGAATGATGCATGATTAGACCAAATCTAGATGTGTCCATTTAAGGAAGGACAGAAGACAGTTTCATTGATAAGTTGAGCTTTGGGGTGTGGGATTTTATTGTGTACATCATTAAAATATTTGAGATCTTCTGAGTTTAAAAATACTCAGAATACCCCCCAATACATTAAACCTGCTTATTTTTTCCTTTTGCATGCAGATGAATGAGTATTTTACAGTGTTAGATTTTCTGCAGTCACTTGTTGAAGGATGATTTTTAAAATTCCTTTTTATTATAGGTAAAATAATATAAATATATAGCTATTTACTTGTCATGTCTGTTACTATTTTATAATAGTAATTCCTTTTTCTATACATTTCCCCTTGCCCAATTAGACTGAAGAAATTTGTTTTATTAAATAAAGTTTGGAAATCAGAGTAAAAGGTACCTTTTTGAGGCTAGCATTTTAATATATATGTGCCTGAACATTATGAACTTTCATAAAAGTTATAACAAAAGACTTGATTATGCTTTCAAAGAATAGCCCAAGAATGATTACATAACTTCTTCATATTAGTTAAGAGGGAATTGAGTGCTTTTGGAGGATCCAGAATAACATCTGTTTTCTTTCTTCTAAAAATACTTAAGTAATGTAAACTTAGAAAAATATGTAGAATAAAATGGCAAACCTAGTTTTTCCTCTCTATGTTTTCCCATTCAACCCAGTCTGCATTCTCCCCATCTTTTAATGTGTTAATAACTATTAAGTTTTAGTTATCCTTCTAGTCCTTTCACCTTACACCCCAAGCCCACTCAACACCAACTGTCCCCCACCCTTACCCAAAGCCCTTTTGAAATCTAAGTAAATAAATTGATTCTTAATTAACTACTTTTTTGTTATAACAGCTTGTGGTTATTAATGTTTGGTAGCTTCTCATAGTATTGTCAGTAGCATTGTCAGGGTTTTTTAGAGCACTTATATTAGGTCCTTTTGCATAGTCAGTATATTTAGTTAACATGTCATTTCTAGAAGGTGTTTTTTTTTCTTTTTAAAAGCAATGGTTATAAGACAGTAAAGTGATAGTGTATTAGGATTCCAGAGCCCTGACTTCTAGTTTTGGGCTATGTTAGTAACTGTTACTCTGGGCAAATCCTTTAATCATTCTAGGCCTTTTTTAGCATGTATAAAATGTTAAGTTTAGTCTATTCTGTACCATGTATGGTTTCTCTTAACTCTAATTTCATAATACCCTTTGATTCGGAGAATAGTTGACATTTAAAAAGTATAAAGAGGCTTGAGGTTGTTTTATCACTGCTCTTAGAAGATGATGTTAGTCACTTTTGGTTAATTTGAAAGCCTTGGTTAGGAATTAAAACTCATGGTTATAGTAGTGTTCACATAGAAAATATGCTCTGTTTAATTATGCCATCTTCAGAAATACATCTCACTAAAATCCTAGGAATTTTGGTTCTAGTTACTTGGTTTTAACATGGATCTGTTAATCTTTTGTTTTATTGTTTTTTCTGGAAACTTTTTTTTTATTGATTAAGGTATTACATATCTGTCCTTATCCCCCCATTGTTCTGCCCTCCCCACACACACCCCCGCTCATACCCTCACTCCCCTGGTGTCTGTGTCCATTGGTTATGCTTATATGCATGCATGTAAGTTCTTTGATCTCTCCCCTGCCTTCCCTCTGAGGTTTGACGGTCTGATTGATGCTTCCCTGTCTCTGGATCTGTTTTTGTTCATCAGTTTATGTTTTTCATTATATTCCACAAATGAGTGAGATCATGTGATATTTATCTTTCTCCAACTGACTTATTTCACTTAGCATAATGCTCTCCAGGTCCATCCATGCTGTTGCAAATGGTAGGAGTTCCTTCCTTTTTACAGCAGTGTAGTATTCCATTGTGTAGATGTACCACAGTTTTTTAATCTGCTGATGGGCACTTAGGCTGTTTCCAGATCTTAGCTATGGTGAATTGTGCTGCTATGAACATAGGGTACATATATCCTTTCTGATTGGTGTTTCTAATTTCTTGGGATATATTCCTAGAAGTGGGATCACTGGGTCAAATGGGAGTTCCATTTTTAGTTTTTTGAGGAAACTCCATACTGTTCTCCATTCTGGAAGCTTTTTTGAGTGGGAGTGAGTTTATTTACAGTTGTTGTTTTTTCATAGGATTATCCAGAAAAGTTATGTAAGCCATTATCTCTTGCTTAGATTTTACACTACTCTTAGATAGTCTCCTTACTTTCACTCTTGCTGCTCATATGAACTGTTTGTCACAGCAGCCAGTGACCCTTCTAAAAAGCACATCCGGTTATGTCACTCTTTTTTTCCCAAAACCCTCCAAGGGCTTCTCCTCTCAGAAAAGTTGAAGTACTTAACAGAATTTATAAGGTCTTTTATCTACCCTTACCTCCCATTTTGAGGCTTTATTTCCACCACTCCCATGTCACTCCACAGCAGCCTCACTGACCATCTTATTTCTGTCTTGCATGCACTTGGCGTGCCTTTACTTACCTTTTTAAAATTTATTTTATTTTTATTGATTTCAGAGAGAAAGGGAGAAGAAGAGATAGATAGAAACATCAAAGATGAGAGGGAATCATTGATTGGTTGCCGCCTGCAGGCGCCCCCGCCCCCCCCCCCCACCGGGAATCAAGCCCACATCCCAGTTCAATATTCTCTGACGGAATCAAACTGTGACCTCCTGGTTCAGAGGTCAACACTCAAACACTGAGTTATACCGGCTGGGCTCTACTTGCCTTTCTTTTTTTTTTTTTTTTTAAATCCTCACCTGAGAATATTTTTCCATTGATTTCTTTTCTTTTTTTTTTTTTAGAGAGAGGGGAAGGCAGAGAGAAATATCGATGTGAGAGAAAGACATTGATTGGTTGCCTCCTGCATGAGCCCCAACGAGGGCCTGGGCGGGGGAGGAGCCTGCAACCAAGGTACGTGTCCTTGACCAGAATCGAACGTGGGACCTTTTGGTCCGCAGGTTGATGCTCTGTCCACTGACCCAAATCGGCTAGGGCTGCTTGCCTTTTTACATGCTGTTTCCTTTTGCCCAAATGTCCCTATAACTGATTCTTTATGTCTTTGCTTATTCATTGCTATATCAGAAAAGGCTGTCCCTGAGTTTCCTATATATGGAGTGGGGCAAAAGTAGGGGTTTTTTTGTGTGTTTTTTTTTTATAGTTGTTTGTTTGGAAAATAATGCAATAATTAATAAATTATTGAGTCAGAAAGATTTGTACTTGAATCCAGGCTTAGTGATTTTTGTTTTTAAGTTATGACCTAGTAAACTTAACCTTTCTGAGTCTTTATTCCCTCTTTTGTTAGATTTCGATAATACTATTGACATAGACTTGATGAACAAATGAGAATATTTGTGAAATAGCCTTTTTAGTTGTCTTGTGGTTTGTGAATGTAAATGATCAAACAAATATGTTAGCATTGAACTGTTTCTTTTTCTTCTTTTAATCCTATCATTTGTCAAGGTTTGCCTAAAGAATCTTTGTAGCCTTCATTTTCTCCCTGCTGCCACATGCTTGGATGTAGCTTGCACATTCTCCTTGGCTTGGATTTGCTGTTTCCAGTTTTTGCCTACTTGGTTTTATGTGTGGGAAGGGGAAGACCACAAAGAGCTATGAGCTTCAATTTCAGTGTTTTCTCTCATGCTTTAGTAGTATATTCTATGCATACTAAGTGCAAAGCAATCCAGTTACAAGAAGAGTGGGGATATTTATCATAGTGATTACTTAACAGCAACTCTCCACCAAAGGTATGTATATATTAGAATTCCTTGTGGAACTTTTAAAATTTATATTCCTGGGCCCCACTCCAGACTTACTGAATCAGCATCTCTGGGGTGGGGCCTGGGTATTAATTAAAATTTCACTAGTGATTTTTATGAAAACACTCAGTCAAGAACTTCCAGTTGACTTACTGCAGCGGTTCTCAACCTGTGGGTCGCGACCCCTTTGGGGGTCGAATGACCCTTTCACAGGGGTCGCCTAAGACCATCGGAAAACACATATAATTACATATTGTTTTTGTGATTAATGACTATGCTTTAATTATGTTCAATTTGTAACAGTGAAAATACATCCTGCATATCAGATATTTACATTACGATTCGTAACAGCAACATTAGTTATGAAGTAGCAATGAAAATAATTTTATGGTTGGGGGTCACCACAACATGAGGAACAGTATTAAAGGGTCGCAGCATTAGGAAGGTTGAGAACCACTGACTTATTGGAAGATCATTTCAAGTCATTAAGGCAGATCACTGTTTATAAATATTAGTTTTTGGTTTTTTAAAAATATGTTTTTATTGATTTCTTAGAGAAGAAGGGAGAGGGAGAGAGGGATTGAGCTTCCAACCCAGGCATGTGCCTTGATCAGAATCAAACCTCCACCTCCTGGTTTATGGGTCAACACTCAATCACTGAGCCACACCAGCCCGGCTATAAATATTAGTTTTGATGACCTCATATCATTTCCCAAAATCCTTCAATCACTTTTCTATTACTCAAAATAAAATCAAAATGAAGTTTGGCATTCAAGACCCATTTATATTTGTGGACACTGTAGTTTAATCCTGTTAATTCTGTTTTTTTACCATTCTTTTTGATGACTATATTTTTAGTAGACTGAAATTGCAGGTTAGCATTATTTTCAACTACCTACTTCTCTTATGATGAATGTCCCATTCCCTTCCCCGTTTCCTTGATCCTACTTTTCTTCTAAAGTCTACCTCAAAAGGCACACTTTCTCCATAAACCTTCCTCACTGCTAGAAGTCATGTTTCTTCTTTTAACTCCAAAATATTTATATGCTTTATTTTTTCACTGATCCCATATCATGTTTATCTCCGGATACCTTTCATCTCTATTAAACTTGAAGTTTCTTGAGGACAGATTCTATTTGTGTTCTACCACCACTCACTCAGTAGAATGGTACTTTGTACATAGTGTCTGCTAAGTCCCCCACCCCCACCGCTGATTTGGGAAAAGCTTATTTGCATTTTTTAATGTTTAGTGAAATTTATAAAAATGCTGCTGTTATGTTAAACTAGTCTGAAGTCATTTTCCAGAAAAATATACAATTTCTTATTTTTCTTCTTAGACCTGGCTTTTGACAGGCTGCTTCTTGTTTACAACTTGTGTTTTGTGATAAATATAGGATTCAGAGATGTCAGGCTAGCTTTTCCTCTTGTATTGTTTGCCAGACATGGTAATTCTTGGGAGATAGACAGTTCTCCATGGGTCTCTCACACATTATACATGTCTTGCAAGTAGAGGTACTGTCTGCCTTTTTTCTGGACTACCTTTTTCAAGGATATTTATATAGTGAGCAGCCTTGGAAGATACAGATATTGTTCCAAAGCAAAGGGCAAGCTTGCTTGCTGTTCAGTATAATAAAAATAGACTTCCCCCACATATGAAAAGGTGCTCAACATCACTAATTATGAGAGAAATGCAAATTAAAATCACAATGAGATGTTACCTCACATCAGTCAGAGTGGCTGTCATCAATAAATCAACAAACAACAAGTAAGTGTTGGCTAGGATGTGGAGAAAAGGGAACACTCATGCACTCTTGGTAGGAATGCAAATTAGTACAGCCACTATGGAAAACAGTATGGAGGTTCCTCATAAAATTAAAAATGGAACTGCTTTATGATCCAGCAATTCTACTTCTGGGTATATATCCGAAGAATTCCAAAACACTAATTCTAAAAGAGATATATATTACTTGGCCATAAAAAAAGAATGAAATCTGCCCAACTGACATGCTCAGTGGTTAAGCATCGACCTATGAACCAGAAGGTCACCGTTCCATTCCTGGTCAGGGCACATGTCTAGGTTGCGAGCTCGATCCCCAGTGTGGGGTGTGCAGGAGGCAGCTGATCAATGATTCTCTCTCATCATTGATGTTTCTATCTCTCCCTTACTCTCTGAAATCAATAAAATATATATATATATGAAAACAAGAGTGAAATCTTACTACTTGTGACAGCATGGATGGACCTCCTAGACATTATGTTCAATGAAATAAGTCAGTCAAAGACAAATATCATATGATTTCACTAATATATGCTACCTTAAAAAACAAAATAAAAAACAAACAAAACAGACAA